TGGGCTAACAAGAACCTTATGAAGTTCAACAAAGACAAGTGTAAGGTCTTGCACCTGGGAAAACAATCCAGGAGTGCAGCACAGGCTGGCATCTACCCAGCTGGGGACCAGCTCTGTGGAAAGGGGTCTGGGGGTTCTGGTGGACAACAGGCTCCATATGAGTGAACAGTGTGCTGCTGCGGCCATGAAACCCAACAGGATGCAGATTGCATCAACAAGGGCATCACCAGCAGAGATAAAGGAGTCATTAGCCCACTCTACTCAGTGCTGGTCAGGCCACATCTGGAATACTGTGTTTAGTTTTGGTCCCTGCTACACAAGAAAGATGTGGACAGGCCGGAGATGGTCCAGAGAAGGCCACAAAGATGATCAAAGGCCTGGGAAGCCTGCCATATGAGGAAAGGCTGAGAGAACTGGGCTTGTTCAACCTTGAGAAAAGAAGGCTTAGGGGAGACCTTACCACCACGTTCCAGTATTTAAAGGGTGGCTACAAAGAAGATGGAGACTCCCTTTTTACAAGGAGTCACATGGAAAAGACAAGAGGTAATGGGTACAAGTTACTCCTGTGGAGATTCCAATCAGACAGGAGAGGAAAATTTTTCACAATGAGAACAATCAGCCAATGGAATAATCTCCCCAGGGAAGTGGTGGATTCCCCAACACTGGACACTTCTAAGATTTGGCTGGACAGGGTGCTGGGCCATCTTGTCTAGACCATGCTTTTGCCAAGAAAGGTTGGACCAGATGATCCATGAGGTCCCTTCCAGCCTGGTATTCTATGATATGATGATTATCAGGATGTAGGATGACACACGATTCTGTCAGGTGCCCGAAAACTGACCAAAAGGGAAAAGTGTTAAAATACTTCTGGTAGCCAGCAAACATTCGTCTTCCCTCTCTGCCACCTGAGTGTTCCATTGCTGCTCTAGTAATTAGCAGATCTTTCCTTCCCTTTAAACTGCAGAAGCAGATGCTTGTTGCTCTGCATTTCTGTCCATTCATACATCTAGTGACTGAGCTCCATCACTTCACAGAGGTCAGCAATCTTCTCTCTTTCACAAAGTGCCAGATGATGAACACTCTTCACTGTCTGGTTCCCACTTTTGCCATTACAGAACCAAACCAGCGCATATTCATCTTTTCATTTAGTCCACAATGTTAAGGTCTGAATTGCCATGAAGTGTTGCAAAATGTTAAAAGACACATTGTACCATCATTTCTCTGCATTCTCGTCAATGTCTATATACTACAGGATAGAGCACTCATGAGAGTGAAAGCATATTTTGGATACACCACTGAAAAAGACTTAAATGTGAATTTTGAACATTAGGTCAATTTGACCTGAGATTTCTGAAGAAACTGCATCAAATTGACCCACAACTGTACAAAATCAAACTCCAAAGCAAAAGCATTCTTTCTCAGATACTGTACCATAATATCACCAGTGAGTAAACTTAGTGTAACCAAAGAAGAAATATACTAAGCCAGAAAAGTAACTTAAAAATGCTTTCATTTACTCATAAGAATGCAGTGCTTGATGACCATTTACAAAAACTAGAAATCTGATTAACAGTACAGATATAAAACATACATTACAAATGCTTTGCCTTGGATTACCAATCCTTGAACATTCACAAAAAGAAGTGAGGAGAACTGGTATTAGTTCCCAAGTAGAAGAAACCAATTCTACTCTTAACTGCACAATTTGGGCAAATAATTTTTCTCCTCATCCCTTTCCCCTTCAACAGCTCTTCAACCACATTTACTTAAACTGCTGGCTTTCTGATAGAAGGACGAATCACTGACTGTGAAGGCACACACTACTAATAGCCAGGGACCTGATCAGGGCTGTAATCTTTGGGCAGAATGCAATCCCAATCTCCAATCTGATCTTCCCATTTGGGTCTACACAAAAGTTTGAAGGCTCAGATATTTCAAAATATGATAAATTTGTACAATAACAATTATTGTTATTATTTTATTGTTATAATTGTTATATTATATTGTTACTATTGTAATATTTTATAAGAAATCTCAAGAAATGGGAACAGCCTTACCGACTTGTCAGCATGCAGGTTCAATTGCTCAGCACCTATAAAAATGTTTGGCCCGGCAAGGAAAACATTACCTCCTGTAAACACAGTTTATCACAGCAGTTCCCATAGCTACTGATGATTAGAACACTGCAAGTAGAAGCAATGAATGAATTCCATCTCAAAAGAATTAAAGGAAGAAGAAAAAGTAACGACAGACAATACTTACCAGAGAACAACTGCAAGAAGCAGACAGACTGAAAAATGGAGGAATGTTAAAACAGCAGTTAAAAGGAGATACCACAAACTCCTGTTTAGAAGTATAAATTTTATATATGACTGAAGTTTGGATAGGCTAGAACATCTTTAACACTGAGGAAATGTCAAAAAGTAGGAACAGGACTTCATGGCCTAAACATAACTTACTTGCTTCTGTAGGTAGAATAACAATTCCCTAAGGAAAGACGGAAAAAGGAGGAATGCCTGAGAAGAAAGTGCAGCAGCAGCATCTTGACACTGCAAACAGAGCAGACACCTCAACCATTTATTTCATTTGCTCTAATTTTCAATCTAACTGCTGGTCAGACAAGTTTAAAAGAAGGCAATGCAGGCATCCTGAGAATTGCAAGGCTCAGGAGAAACCAGCATACTGCACGTTCTTTGTTACACAAGATAGTAGCTGGCAAATTTAGCACTTCAGTCTCCCATTGAGTGCAGGGGGGTTCTGTATCTTCCTAAGCTGGGTTAAGAAGCAATCTGAAATCTCTTCCTTGAGGCTAGAGGATTTCTCTGAAAGGATCTGTAGTAATGCTGTGAGCCTAGAAAGATAAAACATTGTTTGTTAATTGTGGTAAAATCTGAAAGACACACCAAGATTATTTATGAGTTAATTCCATCAGCCTGCTCTGATCCATGTTTGCTAACCTGCCCATACTCTTACATCACATTTTATATAATTATGCCAGTCATATAATTATTTAAACTCAAGGAAATTCCAAACAATTAAAGGTTATGTACAAGCACTCAAATACCTCAGGAACTAAGCCATGTAGGGCTGCTGTCTTTTTTGGTGTTATAAATGGAAGACATAGTTGCAAATCAATATTGATTTTTTTTTATTTAATTAAGACAGCTTTATATTTATGTTAAAAATGCACATTTTCACTTTTCTTTTTCCCCACATAAAAAGTTTACTAATTTGGTGAATTTATATCACTCTAAACCAAAATTTTTGTCATGAAACAGTTCACAGACATGTATTTGTGTTGCTACTCTAGCAGCTGCAAAACATCTAGCTTGTACACTAGATATTCTTGCCATAATTGTAAATATGCTGAAATCTTAAACAACAACAAAAAAAAATTAAGATGAGGGGGAATCCTTTTCCTTCCATGTCATAACAATGACAAGAAGCTTTCCAGGATTCCTATGTCAGAGGGCTATCTCACACCAAGTGAGAAGAAACTTCAAAACCAAACTCAAAAGATCCTGCCAAGCACACCTGTTCTTTTATGCCAAGATGGCTCTCCCGAGCACTTTACCTCTCAACTGTACTGTGGGTTAATAGGTTTTGTTAGCCTTTTGCCTTCCAAGTGATTCTTACTTTGCCTACCTATTAAAAATCCTTGACCTGTCCCTCTGTGGTTAGCAAAATCCATGGGAGTCAGTGATCTCTTCTGAAGTGTGTCTGTCTGTAAAAAGGAGAGACATACTATTAGCCAGTACAGTATGCTTATCTACTGAAATGGTTTGACTACTGTTTTTACAATCTAGTCCAGCAAAGTGAGTCCTACCAAGCCGCAAAGCTCCAAGCAGTATTAAAACTGCACAATTCTAGTACATAGACACCCTCAAAGGAACTGTTTGATGCATTAGACCAGAAAAAAATCTTTTCCTCATACACTAGTCTTGCTTTTCAAGGTCCCACACCTTCCCAAAACCTTTCAACATCCTCCTCTCTACAGGTAGCAGGAATCCCTGTACATCAGAAATCTGGGGAGACACAGTAAATGAGTCCTGCTGTAGACCAACAGTGGGTGTGAATGGAAGCCTCTTCACTTTTCCATGTCTCTACTTACATTGTAACATACCCTGAATGTATGAGTTGTGTTGGGCCTTGAAACTTGATCAATAATAACAGTTCTTTCTCTGAGTGGCTGTTGCTCTGTGCTGCCAGGCACTGCACTTGACACTCTGCTATGAGCATACCGTCCTCGATGCTGAGAGAATTAAAAAGAGGATTGAGAGAATGCAGCAATTTAATCGGTTAAAATAGTAATTTTTCCATTGCCATACAAAAAACCACAAGAGAGAGAGAAAGAAAAATATGTTTTCACTAACCCAAAGCACCAATTTAAGGTAATTCAAGGGTACTCATGTTTTTCAAACAGGTTTGAAACTGTTCCCTAATATTAGTCTATAATCCCCAAAGGCTTATACTAATTGAAATAATAACAACAACAACAATAAAATTAATAATAATAGACTTTACAGGTGTCTCAATTCAAAATATTATTCAGAAGCAAAATAATATCAACATACCAATTTACTTGCATTCTGGTGATTTATTACTTCCCTATCCTTCAAAAATAGGCCAGTATCAATAAGACTTGTCTTTTTTTTCAGTCAGTATCCTTTTCCACTTCAGTCAGCATAATTTACTGCTTCTTATAACCTAACATTAGTGAATAAAACACTGAAAAGAACTACTTAAATCCAGATGCATATAAGTGCAAGGTTATTATCTGGTTGATTGGTTGGTTTCCTCTTTTTTTTAAAAAAAAACAGATTTTTCTGTTGTCAGAGAAAAGTCTTTCCACCATGATCTGTTTGTGACCTAAGGTTTTTAACTGGCTTGTCTTGCATTCTAACGATACCCCAATGTAACACACATTAGCATGTTAAGACCATGTATTAAAAACAAACCAACACAAACTGTAAAATTATTCAACAATTGACACAGAGCAATTTATTTCCAAATAGCTCAAATTGAGTTCTTCACCAGAACAAAAATGAACACAACTTACACAGCTCTGTTGCAATCGAGGTACTGAAAGATACTGTTCAACAGCCTCTGAGTTTATTGGCGGTAACTTGTTCCAGGTTGTAGGTGCACGAGCAGAAGATAAACGATCCAAGCTGGCACCCCTACAGAATTTTAAGGGTTCCTCTTTTAGGAGAATTCATATTAAAGATTTCTTCACTGCAGTAATATGAAATTATTAAGCAGTACATTTCTTTATAGAGCTCAGCTACAGAAAGTAACAGCACCTAATATAGCATCAAAAAAATAAAACAAATGTCTCTCCTCAAAAAACACAGTTCTGCTTGCTTTCTTCTTCTCTCTGAATTCTAGAATCAATAATAAATCTCAGTTGTCAAGTATTTTGCAAAATTCTTCACTGGTGAAATTTCAGTAAAGTTCTGAGGAAAGCAAAGAATAAAATGAAAAAACTCACAATTTAGTCCCCCTAAGGATTTCATCATTGTACACATTAGGAGCTTTTGAGGAGAGTTTGTCAGAAGTGAGAGGAGGTAACCTATGATGGCTTGGTAGCTTCCTAGAAGATGCCAGCAGTACCCGAGATGATGAGAGAATACTGTTATCAGCAATTCTCCCCAACCTGGTATGCACTGAATTTGGAGCACTGGAGCCACTGCTATGCTGTTTATCTTCTTGCTCATTCCTAGGGAAAAAGGAAGGAGAATGACATAAGGAATGAGGATGAAGGGGGAAAAAAAAAAAGATTTCTTAACAGAGCATCACTGCAGCCTCTACAAATCATTATCACATCAGTGATACACACAAAGGAGATGACTGCCTTCTTATTGACTTTTTATAATTGCAAAACATCTTTTACATACTATGAATTATGATGCATTTTGAAAATGTCAATACTAACACCTACGGTATTTTTTCTACTGTGGCAACATGCCTCTGTTGGAGTGGTTTTGCTTGAATTGTCATCACACCATTCAAATTACTACAGAAGTTGCTGGAGAAACGGTGAACCTAGTAAAAGCAAAACATGCATTAACCTTTACTTTTTTGAAGGAAGACCTCAAAAACACGTAGTTAGGAGACATTTTACTTGTTTCTTAGAACAGTTTCTGTTAAGATGGTTCAGTAGAATTCTCAGTAGTAGATGGGGCAAATATGTTGTTTTGCTTATTTTAAACAGATTCTTACAAACAGAACTTGTGTAATTTAGTTACTGAATTGCAACTCAATTTGCAATCTAAGTTTCAGCTGAAGCTGGAGTTCACTTCTCCGAAGTTTCCATTTCCCCTCAGCACAGTCCAGCCCAGGGGCACAGAGCCTGGGCATTACTTATCTAAGCATTTTACTATTTCTGGCTGCTGGGACCACTACAGAACCAAGCGCACCGATGGGGAGCACCGAGATTGCTGTGCTACCTCTTCCATGTTTCTTATCTTGCTACCTAACAAGCATGGAAGAAGAGTAGACAGAAGAGAATGAAGTCACTTAAACTGAAGAGACACAGGGGAAAAAAACCAAACAGAAGCAGTGGCTGGAAAAGAAAAAAATGTGCTAAACAGGAGCCAGGGAACAGAGGGAGGAAGCAAGCAGGACTAAAAAGGGCATTTTATCAATACAAACATGAACTTCCACAGAGAGAGGTAAAGCCTAGTGCCAGCGCGCTGGTGGATATACTGCAGAGTCCCCTTTTATAAGGGGCAAAGGAAATGAAAAGGAATGAGAAAGTCTGAAACTCACAGGGTTGTGAGTAAAGCACTTCAAGTTGCAGCTTCACATCCCTGCAGTCCAGGGAAAAGCCTGATTTTTCTTCTTAATTCTACCAAGAGGAAATGACTTGACCTATTTTCTAAGGATGAAATACAGTCTAACAAGTGTTTTTTTGTAAACCAACTTCAGCAATATCTTAGTGGTAAACGGCACCTTTAAGAACCACCAAAGAAGAACAAGTGATAGTAAACGAAATGCGCATTTAATGAACCTTCATTTTAAATGAGATAACATTTTCAGTATACCTAATTAGTTTAAAAAAAAAATTTTTAAAAAAGAGCCCTTTCTAGCTTCAGCCAGGACTCTGTCCCAGGTTAGCATAAAAAAGAACACCATTTGACAGAAAGTTATTTTTACCTGCGAGGAAACAAAATGAGACCCAAAAGATACACTTTGTGCTTCAGAGCCTCTGGAAAGAGGAACACTCCCAGCATCTGCTGTAATACGAACGACTGGCAAATGTGGCAGTTTTGCTGTAACAGCTTTCAGTTTTTCCACCTGTTTGTCACACTCTGCACAACAGCAAAAAACATAGAGGGAATATGAGGTATTTCATATGTTTACCAGCCATCACTTGTTCGGATTCAAACAATATTACACTTCACAGTAAATAAAGACTTTCATATAAAGTTTCCACGGTATTTAAAAATCTACCATAAATGATGTTTTTCTGAAAGCATTCCCATTTGTTTATGCTTTCTCTGACACTGACAAACAAGTTGGTCTATACAGGTAGAGCTGGAGGAGGATGTTTGTTTAAGAAAATACTGCTAAGACTCTTGGAATGTTATTTAAAAATTCCCAAAGATTTTTTTTTAAAGCAGAAAAAAAAATATTAAAAAAAAAAAGTCTATTGATCCTATCCTTGCCTGACAGCAGCTACAGAGAGTTTCATTTTGGGTATATACTGCCATCTTATTTCTATTATAAACCCACATTCTTTTACATTCCTAGTTGAATTCCTTTGGTTAGCTATCTATTTGTCATAAGTTTATGCCCCTCATAAAGATAAAAGAGCACACCTATCATAAAACTGCTAAGCTACCCTCCCTAAACTATAATATTGAGCTAAACAATCCACCTGTGTTGTGGAAAGCCCTGTTATATTTCAGTAACACCTGAAATGCTAAGTTCTGATGCTGCAAGTATTCTAAGAAATTTTGCCATTTCTTACTATGTTGTAGACTTACATTTGAGGTTGAGTGTATGTTACATTTGAGGTAATTTCCAAAACCCACTCCCAAGTATTCTTCTATTACTGTCCTTTTAAAATACATTGAAAGGAGAACTCAAATTTCCCTCAACCTCCAAAGATGACACATGCACACTAAATTGAATTTAACTTCTAGTTAATTTTCCTAGCTTCTGCTTTTCTTCACTACAGTCTGTTAGAATACGAAAACATAAAATAAAATGCATCACCATTTCTTCATCTATATTAAACTCATGAACTCCTGCACTGTCAGCAGGACTCTCTCTCTCTCTCTCTCTCTCTCTCTGACTGCCTAAGGGCTCTTTTTATTAACAAAGCTCAAACAATGAGGACTAGAAGACTTTGATTCCTAGGTTCCAGATTCAGAACACACTGTCAGTGATCCCCTGCTAAGAGCATCAATTTGCATCCTGAGCCAGCAATTAAGATTATTTTTTTTTAAAACAGGCTTTCCTGCAATGAAGCTCTTTCAGTCAGTATTCTTCCTTTTTTTACAGCTCATACAATCCCGCCTGAAAATTAGTAGGAACGTTTTTATTTTAGGTGTTTGCGTATGTGTGCGTGCACACCCATGGCAAGGCATTACATATCTTACAGTGCTGTACTACCAACATGATTATCTTAAAATAACCAGATTTCCCAAGCTTCATTTAAGGGGGGGAGGGGAGGGGGAGAGAATCACTTTTCTGAGTTTGATTCAATAAATACCATATCTGAAAATACCAAATACCTGTGATACTAGTTTCCCAATTTTTTTTAATCAGTTCATCCAATATTTCAATTACATTGCTCCAGATACAATCAAATACTTCAGAAGCCACGGCATCTTTGATACAGGCATTGGGAGATACCGGGGGAATGCCACGCTTACTCCTCTTCTCAGCAAGATGCATTTTCTTTTGTTCCCAACTCTCATCATCACTAATAAAGGAAGCAAATTCAAATAAAATTCCATGGGGTTTGTATTAGAAGGAGGGGTTTTCCCCTCCTTCTAATATACCAAATGAATAGACACATACATATGGAAGAAAAGCCAGTCAGAAGTAGATCACAAAAAAAATTCAAATTCAAACATACAGAGTACCTATGGGAACAGAACCGATTGAATAAATACAATGATTTCTTTTTCTTTTGCTTGCAGGTGAAAAATGAAAAAAATCCAGTCAGGGCATTACAACAGAAAGATCTGCAGCTCTAGAAAGAACAGCTTTATACGTGGCAATTAATCATTTGAGACTAAATCCTATGCTTCTTATCATAAATTTAAGGGAACTATTGTCTGTTGCATTTGGCAGGAGGACTATCACATAGAACATTTCTTTTTTTATCACATCCTGTGTACCTGCACACATCTGCAACACTCCACCGCTGATCAAAGACAAACAACCTCAAAGGATTTCTGCAGCCTGACAAGAATAGCAGAGCCCATAGCCTTACATTCACCTCCTTCCCTTCCACTACTGTGTGGACAGTTACATTTTTTTTTTTATTTTATTTTTTTTCCCTCCCTCCCTACCTAGGGAAGCACAGTGTAGCAACATTTCCTAATTTGGTCTTCTAATACACCTCTCAGGAAGAAAGTTTTAACCTTTCTCTTTTTTTTAATGCTATCATATTTCTTTCTAAGGAAATGCAATTTTTTTTATGATTACATGCATGATCCCAAGTTCATACTGGTTTCTACTATCTCCCTTTCTCTTCTCAGTCACTTCTTCCTCAAACTGGACCGCAAAATTCTTAACTATGAGGCTTGGTTGAATGGTCCAACTCACAAAAGGACCAAGCTATTTTCATATCAGGCTTTGTAACACCTAATGGAGAACAAGGTATTTCAGAATTGAAGGAAACAAGAAACAACATATCAAGGAGGCACAAAGGAGAGAAATGCACCTTCAGTCAAGTCTCTCTCCCAAATTAAGTTTGCTTACTTAGCAAAACGAAGAGAGAACAATCCTAAGAGGATTCTTGAACCCAAACCCTTTCCAACAAGGCAGCCACCCAGGCCCTCTCTTTCAGAAACACGACTGAAAGGGTCTCAGTCTGGTTCCTCAGTTTTTCAGAACCACCATGTCTTTTTCGTGTAAGTGCATCAAGCTTTAGCACAAAAAGCTATGCTTTGTGCCCCACTAGTCCTACCAAAGCTTCCCCCTTGTAGCAGTCTTTTAGAAAACAGCACATTACAGTCTTTCATCCACCCATAGCCTCATTGCTGGAACACTCAACTGGCTCACAGGAAACCTAGGTTGCACTGTCAAGACAACAGTTGCATGACTCCTGTCACTCAACAAGAGTGCTCTAAATACAGGTTGTATCCTGCACCTCTCCTCACAAAGCTGTTACACAGTGCACAGAAAGAATTTAAGATTCATTAGGGCAGACAATGAGCACGTGCAGTGTAATGACCCTAAACAACCTGGTGGTCAAGGCACTCACCTGGGGAGAAGGGATTCCTTCATTCTACTCCATGTCTCAGAATTATTCACTTTATCTCCATGCACAAAACACCTCACAACAACTAGTGGTTAAGACACATTCCTCTGACATGGCAGATGTGAGCCTTGAACCACCAGAAAGACAACATACCTAATCTTCCACATGCCCAGTGAGTGCTCTGACCACTGCGCTACCAAACACAGGGACTGAAGGAACTGTATTTTACAGAAGAGAAACATAGTTTATGAACCCTGACTGGATTCACTGATAATTTTTCATTATATTCCTCAAAAAATACATATATCTGTTATTTACAGCTCCTTGTTGTCAAAGGCAAAATATTCTTCTATTTTTCCATCCACATCATAGATTTCTTCTTCCAGGAATGAATACATGGATGAAGCAGAGGCAAAAATCCTAGTGGAGCTTGAATCTAGTGATTTATGTATTGGAGATGCTGTTGGGATCAGTTTGGAGCCTGAAATACAGAGCCTGAAAAAATATCAACAAATGAGAATTAAATATTCAGAGAAAGAAGAAAGCGTGTATATAATTATACTGAAATGTTTCAGTAATACAAAAGTAATATTTGTACATATTTCTGAAGAGGGAAGGCCAAAAAGAAAACTTTAAAACATTAACATACTCTTTTCTATTACTAGTACATTCATGGAGGCCAGATAAACACTTAGTATCCACAGAGGTATCACTTCTGCTCTGAAAATGCTGAAAGCCTTCGTCCTTTGGCAGTAGGAGCTGCTTTCCTAGAACCCTGAATAAAAAGGAGAGAGCGAGCAATATCTTAGATGAAAATCCACTCCATATGCAAGTTACCAAGAATACAAATACCTGCAAACAGTAGGCAATGTGGAAATACACCTTACATTTTCTTTGAAAAAGTAATTTATGGAGGGGCCAGGTCTTGTGTAATATGTTAACATTGCCTAGTATTTAAGTCATTAAATTTAAGCTGATTTACGCAACATGAGATTCCAGCTTACAACTTTTAAGAGCAAATAGTAAAACTTGTTAGATTGTTCTAAAGGCAGATAAACACACTTCCTTTCTTATCAAAACTCTGTAAGAAATGTTTAAAAATGGATGCAGAAGACAAATAGCATCTGCTATGACTTCACTTATCCAACTCCAGTATCCATCAATGTGAGCAGAAATCCTAATTCAAAATGTTTACATGGATAGTTGAGGCTAGAATTAATGTTCAGAAAATGCACAAATTCCAACATGCGTAACAGAGGCAGAGAGAAAGTAAAAGCAACTCTATTCTATTTAAATGTACATGAAGTTACTCTATAAAATAATGTCTGAACACAGTATTGGTAAATAATAATCACTGCTTACTGTTTTTCACTAGAATTCACCAGGAATCTTGAAAGAATTTACCATTCGCATCAGTAGTGCAAGCAGCAATGTTCAGACTCACCTCAACACATTTTCTTAAGACTACCATTTACAGAACAGCACTTTATGCCACATGAAGCTCTAAGCAATAGCCTTTTTTACTTTTTGTTTTGTAAACCATGAACAAAAATCTTTCTCTTTAAATAGATCTGATCTTTCTCTTATTGATGACAGTTGCCAAGTATATTTATACCCACATGCTGAGCTAAGTATTCATATATCAACATAGCTGGTTTACAAATTGAAAAAAAAAAAAAAAAAAAAAAAGGACAGCCAGCAAGCAATTTGAAGCACAACTCTCAGATATAAATCTGGCATCCCAGAAGCTATTCTTTTGAGTAACTAGTCAACACAAACTGAGTTTTAAGGTTTAAGCTTAATAATGAAAATAACTTTTTTTCTTCCTTTTTAAACCACAGGATGTACCACATCCCTTAGTACCAAATGACACAGAGCTCCCAGATTTCTTCAGTTCACTTTCAACCTCTTGGACTTGGTTGGTATTGCCAGCATTAGATTTGAATCAGAAAATCATAAGTACAGGGAATCACTTACTTAAAAATATAGTGAAATGACTTAATACTTTGAATGAATTACACAGCACAAAAACCTGTCTCTATTTTATGCATGTTCTATTAATTTTTACAGTATCTAAACAAGGCAAAGCATGGCTTAATGCTAGTGAAAATTGCCTCAGGTTTATTTAACAATTCTCTCTTGTTCCCAACAAAGTGTGACACACTTTGTTAGTTGATTTTAGTTTATATTTACTAGTAACAAGCCCCCGCAAATTATCTAAAAGCACCGAAAGTATACCACAGTTATTGACAGGATTCTTTTTAATGGTGTTAAAACTATTGACTAGAAGATAGACACATGCAGGTCTATGTTTAGAATAGCTTAGAGCCACCACATCTCACAAAGAATGACATGCCATCATTTCTGAAGGCAGGACAGTACAACTCAGTACAACACTGACTTCTGTCCCCTGTGTTATAAGAAGTAGTCATCAGGCTGCCTAGACATTTTGCACAACTACGTAAATCAATTCTCATTAATCATGTACGCATTCTCAAATCCGTTCAACTAGTTATTACCAGGTTAATATCACACACTGTTTTACATTGATGTACATAGCTTAGGAGGACATGACAGCAGTGCAGTGTATGTGAAGCATGTGGTTGCCTTGATTTTTCCATTTCTTTTTAGAAGAATCAATAACGGAATCAATGCTAAATTTCTTGGAATTTCACAATATGTTTTCACTTACAGTAAAAACAAATGTTTCTTTACAAGATGTATTCTTTATTTAGAACAGGTCATTATGAAAATGGTGTATTATTTTCTCATTACATCCTGCTGAAGTATCTTTGCCTGCAATCATCGTATTAAGCAAAATAAAGAGCATTAGCTGCTAGTGCACCACCACCCAGACTTGCTGTGTAACTGTGGCACAGCTCTGTCCCAAAGATCCAGATCTGAACGCAGAAGGGTTACTGATGCCATACAGCAAGAGCAATTCATACGAGGGCACTCCAAAAATTCAAACTAGAGTAATAACTGGTTAAAATTAGTATCAGCAAGAAATTTCCTCACCTTAGATGAGGAAATCGTTCAACCCAGTCTGCACATTCTGCCTGCAGGCTCTGAGTTTGGGAGGTCACTTTTCCTTCAAACAGCAATTCATCAATCTCCCAAAATAACTGATGCACTCTCTGTGTGTTGGCTTTATCAAATTCCTACATATTATAAAATTAACAGTTGTTAGCAAATATGCATATATACTAAAAAACCCACAATATTTAAAGAACAGGACAACTTGGACTGACTTGGCTGAGCATCTCGGAATGGATCTTCGGACTACCTACTTTGGACACACAATTTATATACCACAGTGCAAAAACACAAATCCTACGTAGCTGCCCTGAGCAAGGCAATTTAGCAAAAAGGAACTAGAAGCCTGTATTTCTATGAAGTTAATGGAAAACAGGCAGCTGCCTAGGATTAGCCAACAGAAAACACCAGTTATAGGGTGCCTGGACTCTCAGCTCACTCCCTGCTCCGACGTGAAGTGAAGCATGCACACTGCACCTCTGGGACCCACGGCACCAAAGCTCCCTGCTCTTTCGAGCAGCACTCTTCCTTTCTGAGTAAAACGGCTAAGAGGGCAAAAAGGGCGCACCTTGCTTCTGCATGACATAGTCTGGTGGTTAGGAAACAGCCGCCAGTGTGAGAAATGGCCTTCCACACCTCTCCACTGAAGCTACAACTCAGTGCAACCAGAAACGGGCGAGCACAGGAGAGTATGGAAATAGCAGGGAAGAGCCTGACTTTGTCCAGTAATGTGGGAACGAGCACTTGGCTGACAGTTCCTCAGCTGGGGCACTGTTCATAACGATATTTGGCCACTTATATTAATATGAGACTTTGAAGCATGGAAAAAAGTGATAATGCTCAGGGCTCAAATCATATCTGTTCACTTTCAGCTGAGTGCCCCCACCACTTCAGGCTACAGAAGGGATCACACTTGAAAAGGAATGGGAAAATAACTCTCACCCAGGCTATTGTATGATCCAGGGTCAGGCTTTCTCCTGGAGGGCTGACAGCAACAGATGGGGTCAGTACCCTAACGGTTAGGATATTATGCAAAAGGTATGGCAGAACTACCATGGACGGCTTTTTAAAATTAAAGTGGCAGTGACTGCAATGTTTTTGGATTTATTCAGCCTGCACCAGCCATGCCTCAGAGGTCAGCCTCCCTAACAGACTTAACCTCTCACTGCATCATCTATGAAACAGAACTGACCTTAGGTAAGAGCTAAATATTTTCTCAGACTGGGACATTTACATGCATGCTCATGAATGTACTTTATGACTCAAAACACTGAGAACAGTTCAATTCAGACACTGCCCACATTATGCAGTATTTGAAAACACGTCTTTTATCATTCTCTTGGACTCAGAAACCTAAGCCTACCTTCTTTGGTAAACCAGGTTTGTTTCCCCCAAATTTCATTATTTCTTATTTTTATTCTATTTTTCTTTGTTACACATCAGCTGCACTGATATCAACTTGCAAACAGGAACTATTTTTTAAATATTCAATTAATATACTTACTCATTAGGCTATAATGAATGAAAGTGATTAACTTCTCCTACAGGACATGTGCTGCATGTCCATTTTCTGTAAAAATTAATCTATTCTACAATATTCAGATAAAGTGCACTGTAAAAGTTTCTGTGACATACATCATCCCTCCAGGAGTAAACTGAACTTCTTTCAGTAGACAAACCAGTAGTATAGCTGTTTATTCCAGACCAAGAATTATTCAACTCCGTGGGTGTTGTACAACCACTAGATGGAAGCGATGAAAGCGTTTCACTGTGAAAAGACAACAAATTAAGATGAAGAACACAATGGTTTTCTGTATAAACATTTTTAAAATAACACAACTGATCACATAAACGGACAGTGATACATATTCCTGTTGGATGCAAGATTTTCAGGACATGCTGTTACAGTCAGTGTGAAGAGCTGCAAATGTATGTTTTTCAGTAGAGTGCAATGAGTGCATGCTCCTATTTGAACCATTTACTGCCTTAAAGGCAATTCCTTCTACAGCATTTCGCTTTTATATGTACGTATATCATTGCAACTGTAAGGACACTCTAGAATATATCCACACATACTTAGACACACACACGTACCAAGCATTTCCACCTCTAACAATTATTTTGTTTTCTCCAGTTCAGCTATTTGGCACATCAAAACTATACATTAAAGATAACATGAACCTTCTTTAACTCTATTAGAAGCTATCACAAGAAAATTATGCAAAACTGAGCATAACATCTCTACAAATGTTTCAAATAGCATTGAGTTACATATCTGTACACAATGTCTTTTATGCTGTTAGACCTGGTGCACTTTAAACCTTGAGCTCTGGGATTCCAGCTCTCAGAAAGCTTTAGCTGGTCCCTGCCAGCTACCACCCACCCGGGGATGCAGTGACAGCAACAGCAGTCAGACATACAGGCCAGGCAAATCCTAACCAGTGCCAAATGGAATGAAACTTCTTGAAAGTTAAGTGACCTGCAACACTGGTGAGCGTTATTTGTGTTTAACCGTGAAGTCTGACTTCCCTTCCAGGCTTAATTGGTACCCTTCACTATGTTTTAAAAACACGCAAACCTGTTACACAAAGCAGAAGTAAAGTTCAAACCTTCTCAACAATGGTTTAGATCAATTTATACCCTGCGTTATGTGTAATCTGCACATTTCTATACATAGAGAGGAATTACGCAGCTGGCAGAAGTAGAAAACACAGCAATATATTCTAAGCAACAAATATCATGCAGAAGTAGTACATAAATTACAGAAAGAAAAAGATACGGGACTAATTACTACTTAGTCCCGTAACGCTAAATTAAACTGACATATATAGAAGCCTGAACACAGCCATCTCAGCTGATTAAAGTGCTGGTTTGCCTGCAAATTCAAATAATCTCTAAAGTTAAATTCCTTACTGAATAGTTGTCATCCATGAGAATGACTAGAAGCATGACTAGTTAAAATGAATGCCAATCATTAAATACCTATTTAAGCCAAGAGTTCATTAATGAAGTACTACTTCAGAAGTGAATGCATACCAAGTATAATTGCTGATGGCTTCCTGCACATTTCTCTCAAAAACTGCTGGAAGAGACTCTCCACTTTTCCCAGAAAGACACTGATTTGTGGAACCTCTGGACAGTCCCTTCCTATAAATACGGAAACACACCATTGCATAATATTAAATAAGGTTAACTCACACTTTCACTGGAGAAAAAAGAATAAAGATGACAGCAACTCTTTTGAATTCTTCAATCCTATCTGTCAACACAAACATTTACTTGAAGCAAACTACCTTATTTTAAAATAGGCTTTATTTACCTTATTTACATAAATGTTTTTCAGAAAAATGTACATACAATTTGAGACTTATTTTACTCCACAGACGTTCTCCTTCAGTTTTCCACTTTAAAATTTGCATGAAGTGCACACAAACGCAGCAGCACCTCACTATTGCAGGAACAGAGCAAAGGCACAAACCAGTAATTGTCCACACAGTTATTTAGCTATGTGGTTCTGTTCAATCATTAACATAGAGACCATTTTCTCAGACAACTCTCTGCATAAAAAGAAGTTACACATATGGTGCCAAGCAAATGGGGGCCTTTACTATAACAATGAACTCTCAACTTGGCTGTTTTAAGTGAACAAAGATATTAGTACATTAGGAAACACAGGCATATTCTCAACACATTTACAGGCCACGAAGCAGGAGTTCCTCCAGTACCAAAGACTCCTTAAGACTGCATTAAAAACCAAGCCACAAACTGTCTAATATTATGCCTTTACAGCATAAGAGATGCTAGAACTTGCCTTTTTTGGTTCTCCAAATACCTGAACACATGCTCAAACTTCAGAACCTCTTCAGAATGTATTCAGAGGCGGCAAAGTTTTCCTTAGAAACACTTTTAGAGCAACAGATTACTTCATCTGTGGAAGTTCCTATTTTCATCTCATAAAATCCTCAGGTCATAACCATGAATAGCAACATGATTGCATCAAAGTACATTTGTGAATGAGTAATTGTAAGGAAACAGCTGACAGTTTAAGAGTTCCCTTGATTTCTTTAGCCAAGAACTGTAGATTAGCCCTGCAACAGTTAGGATTGCTCTGCCTTCTTCCTATCCTTTCTTGCCTTTACACAGATTACAAAGATGCATATGTCAATATCTAACTCCCTATTCAAATAGACCACATCACACATGCTACTCCTTGGCTAATAAAGCCACCAAAACCTACCCCAAGTTTAAATTTCTCATCAGGGAAGACCTTGAATGGCAGATTCCTGGAGGCTGAGACAACAGCAGTGGAAAGCACCTCTACGTGCTTGCTCTAAACCTCCTCCTTGTTCCCTAGGCATCTGCTTTTGGCCACTGTCAGCACCAAGGGCCCTATGAAAAGTGGCACAGTCCAGACCAGTGAAAAGTTCATTTTGTCGTAACACCAAGATAGATCTCCTGAGCACTAATGGTGAGCTCACAGCCCATCTTCTGCATGGAAAGCTGGTTCCCTCTGTTAACATACATCCCTCCCTGCCATTTCATTTCCCATGTTATCACCCAGGCAGTCTTATAAAGCCTTTCTCAATTTTTTTCATGGCTGACCCTTGCCCTTTGTATTTTTCCACAGCTTACTATCACCACCAAGCCTTCTCACTTCACTGCTCACCCCTTTACCCGGTCAACTAGCTTGAACTGTGCGGGACAGATCCCTGTGAAACACCACTGGAGCAGGAAACCATTTACTGCTGCCCTGTTTCCCATTGCAGTGATTTGCCTGTGCAAGAGCCCTTTCCTCTCGTATTACAGCTGCTTCTTTTACTTGACAGACTTCTGGCAACCTGAACAGGCTACACTCATTGGATGTCTTGTATCTATGAGGCTTTCTGACTTTTCAAAGAACCCCAGGTGGGCTTTTTCTGGTGGCTTTGAAGGAAACCTGAACCTACAAACATGAAAAAAACCAGAAATACCACCAATAAAATTTCACGGAGTCACTCTCTGTGAAACAGAGCGCATGCATGACACTTAATGGCACAACACGTGAGGTGGAGCAAGAAAGCGTTCCTGCCACATGGCTCCACCGGGTGCAGTGGTACTGCTCCTCCTGACTCCTTGGACCGCGTGCCCTCAGACGATGAGGCAGGAGACGACTGCAGGAAAATAAAACGAAGAGGCAAACCCCCTCCCAGCCCATCTGTAGCACACTTCCCCGGCGCTGCCACGCCGACGCCAGGCACTGCAGCAGCCGGCTCCCGCCTGCGCTCCAGCCCTGACCCAACTCCCCGCACCGCAGGCATCGAACGATGACGCTACAAAATCATGACGTCGCCCGCCGACACCCGCGCCAGGGCTTCAGCCGC